CACAGCTATGAAAATCATAATACCCATGATTACAGCCACTGTATTTCAGCTAGAGAAGAAACTGTTCCAATTACAAATGGGACATGTCTTTCAAAATATCTCAAGAAGCAGCCGGGAGTAGTGGCTCACACCTATCATCCCAGCACTTTGGGAGGCTGAGGCAGGAGGACTGCTTGGGCCCAGGAGTTTGAGACCAGCCAGGCAACATAGCAAGATCTCGTCTCTATGAAAAAGAATTTTTAAAAGTTGCCGGGTGTGGTGGTGCATGCTTGTACTCCCTGTTACTGGGGAGGCTGAGGTGGGAGGATTGCTTGAACCCAGGAGGTCAAGGCTATGTTGAGCCGTGATTGTGCCACTGCACTCTCTAACCTAGGCTACAAAGTGAAACCCCCAATTCAAAAAAAAGTGGCAGAAGTATTTACATCTAAAAGGAAGATAACGCCCTCTTCAGGCGACATGGCATGCCCAGTGCCACAAAGCATGGGTGCTGTTTGCTAGGACCCTTGTCCCAGGGACCCACCTCCTTCCAGGGCACAGAGACAGAGCCAATAGCTTGCCTGCATGGAGGCTTCGGGTTGCAGGTTGTGTGGCTAGGGCATAGGGATGCAGGCTGGCATGGGCACTGTGTCCAGCTAGGAGCAGTGTCATCAATGTCCGCTATCTGTGAGCTCAGCACAGGCGGCCATCTCATCCTTAAGTCACTCGCTGCCCCACTCTAAACCCACGAGCACCATACCAGCATGCCAGCTTTCCTCACCCTGTTCTGGAGGCTGAGTCCACCAGAGTGGACAAAAGAGCCTGGAGAGCCGCCACACGCCCACAGATGTCAGGGTGGCATGCGGCAGACATCTCTGAAGACGCAGCTTGGTGCCCGTTGACCTGGTCCAGCCTCTTCCTTCTCAGGCACCTGTCCACACAGAACACCCATGTGTGCACAACGGTGGGTGCTGCAAGGATGCTCACAAAGGCGTGTGGGCAGCATGGAACTGGAGGCGACACGCCCGCAGCACAGGAAGGCAGCTGCATACATTGTGGGACGTTCACATGGCGGGGTTCTGGTAAGCTGAAGACAACAGGGGCGGCCATGGCTGTGTGATCTCACAGAGATCTCCAAAGCACTGCAGGGAACGGCCAAGCATTGAGCACTGAGTGGTGGTGCTGGCACACCACACAGGCTCCCAGTAGAAACGAGGCAGGGCACAGGAGACAACACACCGACCTTCCGCTCAAGCGGGTGGGGCCTCAGACAACCTTAGTAGAATGTTTTTTTGCAGGGGGAGGAAAGAGAAAAGCACATTACAAGGCATTGTCTGAAGGGCAATCCCAAGTAGGTAAAATAAGAAAGAAAAACAGCCGGGCTCGGTGGCTCAGCCTGTCATCACGCACCTTTGGGAGGCTGAGGTGGGTGGATTGCCTGAGCCCGCGGGTTCGAGACCCGCCTGGGCAGCGAGACCTCATCTCTACAATAAATCAAAAAATCAGCCGGGCGTGGTAGCGCACGCCTGTAATTCCGGCTACTCAGAAGGCTGAGGCAGAAGGATCGCCTGAGCCCAGCAGGTCGAGGCTGCGGTGGCCGGGAGCGGCCACTGCACTCCAGTCTGGGCGACAGAGTGAGACTCCAACTCAAAAAAAAAAAAAAAAGAAAGAAAAACACATGCGTACAGAGACATAGGCCGACGCAAGGGAGGGGCCCCTCGGGATTGAGAATACCCGAGGCAGCTCTCAGGGGGACGGGGAAGGATACGCATGGAGACAAAGGCCTCACCGTTGGACTCTCCCACATCTGCTACCCTCGGCTGCTGTGCAGAGAATGCGGCCCTGGACTCCACTGCAGGGAGAAAACGCCACCCAATAGAGAAGAACACACGACTGGGCCTGTGCAAGCCCATGAGTATCCCTGAGGGCCAGCGCAGTGTCTGAACCAGCTTGCTCTGACATCTCAGTCTCACACCGTCCCTCGGCAGCACAGCCTCCTACACAAGAGTCCCCTTGGGATGCTACTAGGACGCACGGAGAGCAGGATTTCTCTAAGTTTTGTGATTCAACTTAAAACAAAAATGCTGGGTTCAGCATAACTTTAAATCATATATATGTCATTTATTGAAATATAAAGATCTTAATTTACACGTTTCAAAACAGAGACGTGAGGGGGGAGCTGGACACACTTCGCGTGGCTGGACACTCCCAAGTTGTGTCCACACACTCGCCACGCCACGGGCTTGGGAACACGTAACCTATTTTTCTCTTTATTATTTCTAAAATATAAATTTTGGACATTCAAAAGTGCAACAGTTAATGTGCCTGTGGGGGACATCACAGTTAAAAAAATATAAACAAAGGCAGTGATACAGCTCGTCATAAATGTTTTGGCAGTATTCTCCAAGTCTACATAGAAATACATATATACACATCGATGTATAACATCATCATCTCACGTCCCTCTTCACAAAAACAGGACCATTTTGTACAGATTGGCAAACCACATTTTAAGGTCATCATTGATCATTTTAAAAGTCACAAATTGTGTTTCTTGGGCCAGCTTTGATTGTCATCCTATAAATGGAAAGCAGGAAGGAGTGTCAAACTTTCTTCTGGGAACTTTGCAGGAGGTCAAAAAGAAAACACATCTGGGATATGCAGAAAGCTCATTGTAAGAACTGCGGTCATCAGAAAATACGGTGATAGCAAGTGGCATGAAGGAAGCCGGGCACTCACACCTGTAATCCCAGCACTTTGGTAGGCTGAGATGGGAGGATTGCTTGAGCCCAGCAGGTTGAGGCTGCAGTGACTGTGAGCGTACCACTACACTCCAGCCTGGGTGACAAAGTGAGACTCTGACTCGGAAAAATAAAAAAGAAAAGAAAAGAAAGAAAAGCAGTTGTTTACCAGCGCTGGCAGGAGCACCACTGGAACCAGAAACTGATGGACTGAGGGGTCTCACCCAGTCCCAGGCCATCCCACTCGGCTCCCAGCATATCCACTGCAAAGCACCAACAAACTTGAGCCATGAGAGGCAGAGTGGATGGTGAACAGACACACACGTGAACGCCAAGGTTGCGTGGCACTGGGCCCAACAGGCTTGCGTCTCAATGGGCCCATCACAGGGAAGGTGGAGAGGGGTGGGCCTGCTTGGCAGCACCGGCAGAGAGCCATGGGCTTTGCTATCACCCTGCCAGTGCGTCACCTGTGGCGGCAGGTGCAGCAACCGCCATCCCCACAGTCCGTGCTTCCCTCATGGTGCCAGAAGCTAAGTGGGAGGCAGGGAAGGTCCGTGACAAACACTGGCCATAGATGACTGGAGGTGATTAGCTCATCCTCCCATCCAACCCCAAAACAGCAGTAAAACTTTAATTTTCTTCCCCAAGATATTGACTAGACCTAGCACACAAGCCGCCGCATCATTTGTGCCCGTGCCTCTCTTTGGCGGGAGGGGATGGGGCAAGCTGGTCCCCCTACAGTGAGAAGCGGCACCTGCACTTTTGGAAGACCTACCAAACTCCGGCTTGCTCAGCCTCGGCTGCGACTGGAAAGTGAAGTCAAGGGCAGCAATGGCCGGCTACGTGGCTGTAAATGCCACTGACCTGGCGCAAGGACTTAACCATGAAGCATCCTGTATAGCTCACTGCTGGCTGGTTACAGATGCCAAGTTATCTGCTTCCCAGGCAACTTCCTGTAACCTAAGTCGGCATTTCTGAAAACTGGCTGAAGACAACAGCCTGGGGGGTTATTAAAACCCAGGCTCCTGGTCCCCCAGCCTCAATCTCTGGGATGGGGTCCAGAGCCCGGGGACTCTGGCTCCAGGGATATCTGGGTACTCGGGATCTGGCTGTGCATCCAACCCCCAGGCAACGCCTGAACGGATGCCGGCCTCACTCTCTTCCGGGACCAGAGATGTCAGAGCATCTGGGCATCCTTCTGGCCCTGTTAAGGTTGCAGATACTTCCATTGGAATCCACCAAAGTTGTCATCAGGCATGAAGAATCCCCTGCAAACCCAGTCTTTTTGTGTTCCCTCATCCTGGCCAACACAGGTTTATGCTTCCATGTTGGGAACATTTGGGGTTGCATGTGTTTGTTTCTGATCCCATCATTCTGGGGCACAGCTCATTGTTTTTAATATACTGGATTGGGAAACCTACTGAGTACATAACTGAAAACTCTGACTTCCTGGTAACACTACCTTCATTTTGCTCTCTATGCTCAGCTAAATTTAATCCACTAAAGCTATTACCCTATTTTATAAAGAAACATGTTATTCAACACAAACATCAAAAACTATCAAACTTGTCACCTACTTAGTAAGTTTTTTTTTTTAAATTGTGCTTTCTCTGTAGGGAAATCGTGTTACCTATTACACACTTAGCATCACTGGTAATAGTAGTATTGTTAGAAACATGGAGTACACCATGAGAATGCACTGGTAGCTTTAAAGGACCCAAATCTATCCCACAAGGTTGGTTAATCATCATCCTTTATCTCCTTAGCACTAAGAAACAGTTAGACACTATGGTCCCAGTACCTTCAAGGTTCAGAAGTGGTTTTCCATGCACTTCAGAAGAGAGTTCTGGAGCAGCGGACACCAGGTTCACAGGGAGGTACGTGGATGGAGCACGCGGCTCTTTGCAAGTCGTGGAGTTGATGCAGCTCAACGTGTCCTTGCCAAGAGCATTTATTTACATAGTTACAAGCTGGAGTTCTGGTCGGTGCAAGGCGTGTGTGTTGGATCTCACCAAAGCCCTCAGAATGCCGAGTGCATCTTCTGTGGCCTATCATTCCCTGGCCAGCCATTTCCATGCCTCACACCCATGGAGGTGCCACGGAGTCCTCCATGAGGCCACACAGAAAGGTCCATCCAAACCTCCCAACTCGTGCATGGCCATGGCCCCCAAGGCCCTGGACCGAGACCCTCCTCACACACCACCCAGGCTCCTCCAGTCGTGGCACTGTGGTAAAGTGGTTTTCTGAAAGGGATTTGAAGGCAGCCAGGAGGCCTGAGCCACATCACAGAAAGCTGTCCTCCACCAGGTCCGAGGAGTCGATGCCAATGTCGTCCATCATGTCGATGTCTTCGATGGTCTCGTCCTCTCTCTTGATGAAGGTGGAGCTGCTGGAGCCGGTCTCGATGGCACTCTCCTCGGAGGTCTGTGAGCTGTGGGGAGGAAAATCAAGGTCACACCCCCATGCAGCAGCCCCAGAGGCAGGGAAGCACCTCTACATGAGCCCTGCAGTAGCCTCAGGCGGCTGGTGAGGCACGGTTCAGAGCCAGACACACCTTGCTGGGCCCATGGGAGGGCCAGTTTATGGCCACGTCCCACGCCAGTCTTCTCCCTTCCCTGTCAGCCCTTCCATAGAAGTGCTGACAAGCTGCAATTATTTCTATGTCCCTACCCAGGTCCAGCAAGGACAGGGCCCTAGTCACAAGCTAGGAAGGTAAGGCAGAGGTGTGAGGTTAGCCATAAGCTGCAGCCAGGCCTGCCAGGGCCCTCCTCCTCTCTCTTTATAGTCAGTGCCCTGTCCCGAAGGCCCCTTGTCCTAAAGGCCCCTTGTCCCAAAGGCCCTTGTCCTAAAGGCCCCTTGTCCTGAAGGTCCCTCATCCTGAAAGCCCCGATCCCAAAAGCACCTGTCCTGAAGGTTCCTTGCCCTGAAGGCTCCTATCCCAAAGACCTCCATCCCAAAGGCCCTTGTCCCGAAGGCCCCCCTGTCCTGAAGACCCCTGTCCTGAAAGCTCCCGTCCCAAAGGCCCTTATCCTGAAGGCTCCTGTCCTGACGTCCTCTATCCTGAAGGCCCCGTCCCAAAGAACCCATCCCAAAAGCCCCATCCCAAAGGCCCCCCTACGCTAAAGGCCCCTGTCCCAAAGGTCCCTTGCCTTGAAGGGTCCTGTCCCAAAGGCCTCCATCCCAAAAGCCCTTGTCCTTAAGGTTTCTGTCCCAAAGGGCCCTAATCCTGAAGACCCCTGTCCCAAAGGCCCCTCATCCCAAAAGCCCCTCATCCCAAAGGCCCTTGTCCTGAAGGCCCCCATCCCGAAGGCCCCTGTCCCAAGGGGCCATGTAGCAGTGCAGTGGCCAAGCAGTGGAATTCTCAGGACAGAGAGCCTTGGGTCTGAAACAGCCCCACCCCTTACTAGCTGTGTGACTTCACACAAGTGATTTGACCTTGACCTTGAACTCTGTTCCCTTGTCTGTGAAACAGCATGACGATGACACCTGACCGTATACCCGCTCAAGCACTCAGCACAGTGCCCTCTGTCATTCACTGTTATGACTATTCCATAAGTGCTGGCTGGCATCATCGACATTCAGACTCCAGCCAGAATGAGCCCAGGGCCTGGGTATGAGATGGTGTCATGAGACAACTGGTAACTTTCTGATATGAGCTCAGGTTATTGTGGTTACAGAGAAGACCTCTTATCCTTAGGAAATTAACTTGTGCTGGCATATGGGGGTGATTCTTACATCATTTAAATGACTGAGCAAAAAAAGGATGAGTGTGTGTGGCTGTGGTGTGTGTGTGTGTGTGTGTGTGTTACACACAGCAGCCGCTATGTATATATACATACTGGGTAAAACAAACATCGTGAAACATTAACAACTGTGCATCCGAGTGGCAGATGTAGTCTCTCGACATTTTAGGACACCCACAGTTTTTCCCCGAGGATTTCAGGACCACTCTCATCAGGTCCCGCTGGCTGCATTCCCACCTGAGCTCCTGGAACCCGCCCACTACATCACCATCTGCCCCGGATGTCATCTACACCTGCATGTGTGTGTCTTTCCCAAACTGACTACCACACACAGCATTCGAGCCACACACACAGCATTCAAGTCTCTCTGGCACACATAACATTCAAGCCGCACACAGAGGCTGGCCAGCTGAGGATGGAGGGAGGAAGGCAGATACACCCCCATCAGCTGTAAGAGCCCCTAAGATCCAGGGGCTGCCAACTGTGACACCCCATCCACACCCTGGTCCAAGCAGCTGGTGTGGACTTGGCTGGCCTCGGGAACCTTTGAGTCCTGGCCCCCTCTTCCTGGGACCTGGACCCTGCCCCTGGGGCCCTAGCATAACAGGAGGCCCGAGTCAGCCCTGGGACACTGGCCTCACCCAGCCCAGGCAGTGTTTATGACACTGCCAGGGGCACCACCCCCAATCTGGGGGCAGGATCTACAGTGGGCCTGGCATAGTCCTCCCCTGCAGGTCCTCCTCACAGCAAGAGGTGAGGCTGAGGGCATGGAGAGAGCCCCTGGCCCTGAGACCAGCACTGAGCTGTCCTCACAACCCAGCGGGCTCCATGGCAGCCCCAGAACTGGCGACAGGACTCACTCCCAGTGCCCAAGCCACAAGGCCCACCTTGTGCCCGGTGCCTGGCACCCCCAGCCCTTGGCAGCACGGCCTGGTCTTCCTCACGCCCACCCCCATTCCAAGGCCCATGTCTGAGCCCAGGAAGAAGGCTGAGGACTCCCACCCACTGGACCCAAAGCAGCCCGGCCTGGGACCCCACACTCCACCCAGCTGCACCTCACACAGAGCCACAGCCTCCCCAGGCATGGAGGTGTTGTTTGGGACACACTTTGTGCAGTGATGAGATCCAGAGTGGTTATTTCTGTGGAATGGGTCAGGCTCCTGCAGGGGCACCCTCCTCCAGGGGCTAGTGATGACTGGGGGACAGACACAGCCCAGGGAGCCTCGTCCTCATCCTCCAGGTACTGTGGGCTGTGAGGGGGGCGCGCATCAGTCTAGCTACCTGTGTCTGTTCCTCTTGCCCACGTCCCCCTCCTCCTCGGGGACGGGGTCAATGTCAGGCAGGGGGATGATGTAGCCACTGTCGGCGCTCAGCCTCTGCTCGTCTGGGCCACCCTCCCAGTCCTTCAGCTTGTCCTCCTCGTTTTTGTAGGTGACACCGATGTAGGCATTGTCCGGGCCCACGCGCATGCGAGCCACGGCGGGATGGTCACTCTTCAGGAAGTCCAGGTGAATTTTCTCATAGCTCTGCAAACATGCATGTAGCACGCTGAGTCACATTCAACTCTCAGACAGGGGCGGACACACCCAGACATACACGTGACTTAACTATGTGCTTCCAAATTACCTCCCGGTGACAAACATCACATCGACTCTACCCAGAGGTGAGGGACTTGAGGAAAGGGCCACCAGGGAGGAGCATTCACTGGCAGGTTTCAGGATGCCAGGAGCACTTCCCGAGTCAGCAGCTATGCTGCATCCCTGCCCCATCTCCACCCAGGACCATCATGGACCCCGGCCCCCATCAGCCACCTCTGCAGGGTTTGGATGGACTCCAGGCCAAGTGGTAAGGCCCCTCACAGGGAACATAACATCCACAGCCATGACCCTAATGCTGGGGATGTCTATCTTTTCATTCAAAAAGACCATGTGTCCTGGCATGGTGGCTCACACCTACAATCCCAGCACTTTGAGAGGTCGAGTTGGGAGGACTGCTTGAGCCCAGGGGTTCAAGACCAGCCTGGGCAACATAGTGAGACTTTGTCTTTCCAAAAAGAGATAGTGTGGTGGTGTGTGCCTATAGTCCCAGTTACTTGGGAGGCTGAGACAGAAGGATTGCCTAAGCCCGGGCAATGGAGACTGCAGTAGCCATGGCCATGCCACTGCACTCCAGCCTGGGCAACAGTGAGACCCTGACACACACATCCTAGATCCTGTGTCTGGCAGTAGTTCTAATCTTCACCAGCACATCTGCCCATCAGAGTGTCTCTGATCAGCCCTAGACTCATTCCCTTGCCTCCTCCCTGCTTCACCTATGGGAGCTGGAACAGATGCATCAAACATCCAGGTCAGCTCAAGCCCCCAGGGCGGCCACTCTTTGAGAGGGCAACGCTCTGGACCCAAGGGACTTGGCTTTGTTCACCTACAGTTCCGACTTGACTCCATGAAGTCATGTGTTCCCTTGACCTCACCTCCCACCCACAGGCACAGTGTGGATGCCTCTCCAGGCAGCAGGAAGCCCATCTCATTGGGATCTAAGAGCAGTTAAATGGCGCGACGGTCGCCCTGAGGTACTGGGTGTGCTGGTTTCAGGCCTGGGTGTCTGGGGGTGAGTGCATGCAGGGGCTGTGTGTCCCAGAGGGAGGGGAGCAGGGAAGCAGGGTCCAGCCATCGCCATGACCAGTGCCCCACAGCACCCATGCTTGGACCCAAGGTCTCTGCTTCCCTTGAAATGCTCCCTTGAGACCACCGAGCAGCTCCCCCGAGGCCTGGCCTCCATCTTGCAGGCCTCTTGCCCACCCAAGCACCATGTACCTTCTTGTACTGGCCAGGCAGCAAGCTCTCCACGATCTCGCTCAGGTGGAAGAAAGAGGGTCTCTTCTCAGGCTCTCTGTTCCAGCACTTGACCATGATCTCGTAGCTAGAGGGGCACAGGGTGCACAGTGGGCATGGGGTCTTGGGCATCTCCTACCCCCAGGCCCACTGGGTGTGCACACAGGCCTCAGAAAGGGGGGTAGCTCACACTTCACTGGTGGCATGGTCAGGTTTAGCCATGCGGTATCCACTCTTGATCTTGTTGTAGAAAGTGGAGTCCACCATCATGCCAGGGTATGGGGTGCCACCTAGGAGCCAGAGAGGAACTCAGAGGGACGCACACGCCCAGCCCATGCAGGGGCATGCAATACACGGGAACCCTCAGGGAACCATTGAATGCCAGGGCCAGGAGCCCTGGCTCTTTCAGGGGCATGGAGTGTGATGGTCTTGCTGGCATTGGAGACCAAGATTTCACACATGACCAGGATGCCAGCTGGTCAAGGCCGGTGCCAACACCCTACATCTCTAGAAAAAGCACTGAAGTGGCCCTCAGTGTTCTGACTATAGGGTCTACACACACACAGTGATGGAAAAAGCAAGAAACTGAGTCACTGAGGCCCAGAGAGTTGGCCTCCTCAAATACGTAACGCAAAGGCCAAGACTGGACTTGGACCACCCAGGTAATTTTCTGCTTTTAAGGGAGTCTTGGACTCCACAAAGCCTCGTGCTGGCATCATCCCCAGGGACCATCTGCAGAGACAGAGCTAGGATCAAAAAGAGGCCAGGCAGAAAGACGCCACGGTCACAGCACAACGGACAAACTCGTGAAACGCATCATATGTGCAAAGCTAGGCAGGTCAAGTTCAGCTCCCTCTAAGCGTCCCAGGGCTCCAGACTCCCTTCTGCTTCAACTCAAGTCCCAGTTCTGAATCAGGACCCCACCGTCCACCACTAAGTGTGCGAGTCTCATCTCTCCAGAAGAACCATCTGGAGTCAGGGTCGTGACCCGGCCTCCTCCTGGGCCCCCTTGGCGGCACCTGGCCTGCCTTGCCCGGCATTGAGGGATGAGGGATTTCTCAGCTCCAGAGTGAGGGCAGGAAGGGGAGCCTGCCACTCCCCCCACACTGCTCTCAACCAGAACCATAGCCACCACCAGGGAGCTGGGACCCTTGACCAAAATCCCAAAAGAAAAGCACTGCAAGTGGACATCATGGGCACACCTCCTGTGGGGGAAGTCACCCAGCACAGCCCCAGGGGAGGACAGTAGAGGCCCGGGGCAAAGACCCCACCTCCCCTCATGGAGGGCCCAGTGATGGTGTGAGAGCTGCAGCACGCTGACACCTGCCAGGGCCTGGACATTGTCTATATCCCTCCCAGCACCACTCCAGAGCACCCACATGGCAGAGACCCAGGCCGTACCAAGGGAGAAGATCTCCCACAGCAGGATGCCATAGGACCAGACGTCGCTCAGCGTGGTGTAGAGGTTGTCGAAGATGCTCTCAGGAGCCATCCACTTCACAGGAAGGAAGGTCTGCAGGGAGGAGGGAGCATGAGACCGTGGCTACGTGGTGTTCTCACTGCAGTGAGCAGGGCTCCCCGGGCTCACGGAGCCCCGTGGGTCCCCTCACCCCACAGCATGTCTCCTGTGTCCTGCTCGCTGCCAAATGCCCAGGGTGCTCCGTAAACCCTGGATGAGTGCTGAGTAGCTGGTGGTGCTTCTCATGCCCGCCAAGGAAAGAATATCCACAACACAAAGTCCTGAATTTTCACCTCAAAATGTGATCCCTTAATGAACCTGTCCCCTGCTTTGAGATATTTCTGGGAACCGGGTTAAGAACAGAGCCAGTGATCTGTGAGCCAGCTTTGGCTCTAGAACCTCAAGACAGAGCAGCACACCACCCCCCTCCACTGCCAGTGCTGGATGTCAAGAGGAATCCTGTGGCCCCCAGGGAGGCTGGAGACTTTGGTGAGTAACTGAACTGGATAGATACACAAGGCTGCTGGGGAGGCCAGAGACCATGAACTCCTAGGGACAGTGAGAGGCAGTGACTTGCCCGAGGTGCCTCAAGCCATACTGGGAGAGGCCCGGTCACAGGTGAGGCCACAAGAGTACATGGCTCACACAGTATAGACAAGGCCCACAGGCCATCTGTGTGGACCCAGCACTCTGTGGCTGCCTCTCACCAAATGCAATGCGGTGACTTGGAAGACACCCACCAGGCAGATGCGTCCCAAGCTACTTCATCTGTGTAGAGTGGAAGAGATGTGAGACAGGCCCATGTGCACCATAAGTGACTCTGTCTCTAAGGAAACCGTGCCTCAGAGATACATGAACTCAAACAGCTCTTGGCATTTTAGAGCTCACAGATGCCTTCGGAAAACCTATAAATGGGACTAGGTGCTGTGGCTCATGTCTGTCATCCCAGGACTTTGGGAGGCTGAGGCAGGAGGATTGCTTGAGCCTAGGCATTTGAGACCAGCCTGGGCAACACAGTGAGACCTCGTCTCTACAAATTAGCCAGGCATGGAGTCATGCACCTGTAGTCCCAGCTACTCGGGAGGCAGAGGTGGGAGGATCACCTGAACCCAGGAGTTAGAGGTTTTGGTGAGCCATGATCGAGCCACTGCACTCCAGTCTGGGTGACAGAGTGAGATCCCAACAAGGAAGGAAGGAAGGAAGAAAGGAAGGGAGGACACACAGCTCACACGCAACCAGCCAGTGCTCATTGCTGCCCTCACATGCTGGACACGTGATGTGAGATCACCCACAAAGTGCCCATGGCCCCTCAGCAAATAGCCACCACCGTCACCTCCCTGCTGCAGACAAAAAAACCAAGGGTCAGCATGGTTTTACACCCAGTCCTCTGTGGCCCCCACAGCGCCATGTTGGAAGTGACAGGTAATGCTGGCCAGAAGCAGCACCTGGCTCCAGGGAGCAGCATGCAGGCGGGGAGAGGGCAGGAGGGGACGTACACTGCCTTTCGACACATAGTTGGAGTCGTGCATGATGTCTCTGGCCAGACCGAAGTCACAAATCTTCACAATTTTCCCCTGTGCCAGGAGGACGTTGCGAGCAGCCAGGTCCCGGTGAACGCACTGCATGGAGAAGGAAGAGGCGGCCTCGTGTCACCCGTGCCTGGACAGTGTCGCCCGGGCAAGCAAGACCACCCATAGGCACTACCCCTCAGGAGCCTGCCCAGCCTCCAGGGTCCCCTCCCCAGCATCGCCCCAGCCCTGCCCCCAAAAGAGCAAGCTGGAGAAAGACACTTGGCTCTGCCAATGCCCATCCCCCATCCCCGTGGGAAAGTAGACAGGACTGGTCAGAAGGCAGCACTGTCCCAGCTTCTCCAAGACCCCCCTCCTGGCCTCCCCGCCATACTCCCTTTGCGCTGGAATCCACGGAGGGTCTACAGAAGTCTCTGTTCCTTGAACTTACATTTTTTGAAGCCAGGAACTCCATTCCTCGGGCAACTTGGTAGGTGAAGCTCAACAAATCCAGCAGAGTGAGGCCTTCTGAGTCATCATCAGAAAGGAGGTTCTTGACTTCTGAGTCTGCAGAAGAGAGAAAACGCGTTGGTGCTGGCAGGGTGGAGTGCTAGCAGCAGCACAGGTGTGCCCAGGCCCCAGCAGCAAGTATTTCCTTTTTTTTTTTGAGTTAGGGTCTCAAAATGGGATGGGATAAGGGTCCAAGTACATGATAAGCAACCATATCTGTGACTGTTGCCCAGGCTGGAGTGCAGTCACACAATCCCGGCTCACCACAGCCTTTATCTCCTGGGTTCAGACAATCCTTCCACCCTGGTCTCCCAAGTAGCTGGGACTAGAGGCGCATACCACCACACTGGACTTTTTATTTTTTGTACAGACAAGATTGCCCAGGCTGATCTCAAACTTCTAGGCTCAAGCGATCCTCTTGCCTCAGCCTCCAAAAGTGCTGGGATTACAGGCATTAGCCATGACACCGGCCAGAAGCATTTTCTTACAGAATGTATAGGCCTCATGAGTGAGTATTTACACTGTGCAAAGGTTCTATCTTAGAAAAGAGATGCATACACCAGGATATATATCTGGTTTATATATGTATACACCCACACATACACACACACAGCCATAAGGATCATCTATACAAATCTTCTGGCTGGGCATGGGGATTATGCCTGTAATCCCAGCACTTTGGGAGGCAGAGTCGAGAGGACTGCCTGAACCCAGAGGTTTGAGACCAGCCTGGATAACTTGGCAAGACCTTGTCTCTACAATAAATCAAAAATTAGCAGGGGTGTGGTGGTGTATGCCTGTAATTCCAACACTTTAGGAGGCAGAGGTGAGAGGATTGCCTGAGTCCAGGGGTTCGAGAACAGCCTGGGCAATGTGGGGAGATCTCCTCTCTATAATAAATCAAAAAAGTAGTTGGGCATGGTGGCACATGCCTGTAGTTTCCACTACTTGGAAAGCTGAAGGAAAAAGATTGCCGGAGTCCAATAGGTTGAGGCTGCATTGGCCATAGTGCCACTGTACTTCAGTCTGGGCAAGGGCGACAGAGTGAGAGTCCAACTCAAATAACCCCATGAGTACTCTCACAATTTTTCTGTTGGCCTCCTAAATTTCTTTCTTCAGCCACAGTTAGCAAAGCAACTCAGCCACCTTTAAAACGCACACCATGCCCACATACACAAAGATCCTCCATGGCAGACACTGGCAAGTGCTCTCTGAAAAGGCTGCTCTGAGAATGCCTGCATGTTATTTTTAAAGCCCCCTTCATAGTATGCGGCTTATACTCTATCAGTAAAGTCAGTCCCAGCCGGCCATGGCAGTCATCTTGGCCATCAGCTCCAAGGACTCTGCGCCAAATCTCTTGGTTTGTAACCCACCCTCTCTCCAGCCCTCAGTGCGGCCTGGCAGGGCCCTAGGGTTTTCGAGGAAGGAGGCAACTGGGGCCAGCAGCTCTCAGCTACTCTGAAAATGTCCAAGCCAGTGAAGTGTGAATCTAGCCATTCCCATTGTCACCGGCCAGGGAGGCTGAGGAACAGTGTTCTGCCTGCCAGCAGGGCCTGACCGGGCAGACTCGGGCTCCCGCGACACGTGTGCCAAGCCCACCAGCACTGCCTGGAAAGCGACGTCAACAATTTCAACAGTTCAGAAGGGAGGGGAAGGATGGGTTCCGGTGACGCTCACTGGCTCATCTTTAAAAAGCACTTGGAAATTCACCCATTTGGCACCAAGAAGCGAATGGAACTTGGAACGGCGGAAACGGAAAATATTATGTTCTGAGCTTTGCAAAACAAGCACATTCTTTCTAATGGAGTGTACCTTCCACTTAGGACCCCGAAAGCATTCGTAGCACATTCATCATTTTCAGAACAATTCCCATGGCGTTGACCCAAGGAGATGAGACCAAGGGCAAGTCAATGTCAGACTCACAACCCCAAGGCTGTGACGAGCCACAGACTGGAGGGGCCCTTCAGCAGATGCGACGTGGCCCAGCTGGCCTGGGCATCAGCTGGGCTCCCTGGAGCATGTACACCCATCTCACCCTGACACATGCACTTCTGCTTGGAAGACAGACGGATCTGCCTTCCAAAACCACTCCATAGAAACACTTGTCAGAAAACACAGCCTCAAATTATCCACTCTGTAGTTCCGATTACAAATTGGATGCTAGGAAAACTGAAAGCAAGGGTCACTGAACTCATGAATGTCAGAGACCTAAGAAAAACCCAGTGCAAGGACCCCACATAACTGCCAACGTTTCATGTTGCCATGTCAAGTCACTGAAAAAAAGTATCAATTATCGCACTTCCATTTTTAAAAAAGAGACACATAAGGAACAACCAGGGAAGGTTATTATATCAGAAGAAACAATCCTTTTATGTGAGTACACCTGAAATCCAAGAAACTCACTGTCTTTATTCTTCTCGATTCATGGGCCACAGACCTGCAAAAACATGTTACAGACCTGGATGTCCAGGTCTGCACTGAGGGACCCTGTAGGCCAACAGACCCACCCACCCTCCTGTCCACCCGCCCCTTCCTACGCTGTTGTGGGAAACCCCTGGAAGATCACAGCCCTCAGCGAGAGCCTCACCGAGCACAGCCTTCTTCTTGTATGAGGCCGGACGGTCATACAGAGACCTCTGGATGTCCGAGTACCTGGACGCCTCCCTCCTCTCCAGCATGGGGACGTATTGTGTCGTGTCCCCCTGCTTCATGTCCATGTAGTCACCAGTGTTCTCGAAGGACAGGATCACGTAGCTGTGGGGACAGAGGAGCCTTGCCCAGGATGCCCTCTGGGTGAAATCCCCCATCCCATGGGTGGTGACCAGGGATCACACATGCCAGACAGTGTGGTAGGCACAGGGGTTCAGACTGAGCAGCAGAAGAGCCATCCCAGCCCCCACTTCGGGGGCATCCAGTCGGGAGTGACCAAATGATCACATAGACACCTAGGGCCCACACGCAAGGTGCTGTGACCAGGAGGCTGGCAGCACGTGGGAAAGTGCTCACCGGGGTCCCTCTCCTGAAGTGGCTGAACCCCATGTATAGAGATGGGAAGACCAGGGAATGCCTGTCACATGGCACATGGGACGGCTCCAGGTAGAGTCACCCCATCACACGGACGCGGCTAGCTCAGAGCACAGGCGCCTGAGAGCCACGTCTGAGCCAGTGGGACTGTGCGTTCACCCTTGGGGAAGTCTCTGTGGTTTTCTTGTTTTGTTTTTAAAGCCAGGATCTCACTCTGCTGCTCATGCTGGAGTGCAGTGGCATAATCATGGCCCACAGCAGACTCAACCACCTGGTCTCAAGTGGTCCTTCCACCTCAGCCTTCCAAGTAGCTAGGACTGCAGGCGCATGTCACCACGCTTAGCTAATTTTTTTTTTTACTTACTGTAGAGATGAGGTCTTGCCAAGTGGCCCAGGATGGTCTTGAACCCCTGGACTCAGGCAATTCTCTCACCTCAGCCTCTCAAAGTGCTGGGATTACAGGCTTGAGCCACCGTGTTCGGCCAGCATATGACATTTAAATGTGAAAATTTCATTATGTTACATCTGTGTGGCTCTTTCTCAGTGTTTCAACCCACAAACCATGTACTTGGGCTATGTGGCCATGTGGCTGGGACAGACTCTTCCTGCTCCTGATACATGCAGTGCCCATTTGGTGGCCAAAGTATGGACCTGAAGCAAGTTCATTGTATTTTCTGACCTCATAGAACTCTGTAGATATGGAGTTCTCCAGAGTGGGACTGCCATCACTGGCTCGCCTTACAGGTCCAGGCCTAGACCCAAGCCTGGAGACCGCAGGCAGTTTCTTACCAGGCTCGAGAGCTCAGGTGGCCCTGGCCAGAGCTCCATTTTCCAGGATGCAAATGGCAGAAGGGCTCCCAGGGGGCTCCCACTCTCCCTCCCTGCATATGGCCAGGGCAGCTTCACATGCGATGCCAAGATCCCAACCCTGCGGACACCATGAACTGCTGCACTGTTGTGCAGTGACTGGCTGGGCAGTGGGACCTGTGTCTTGCTCAGACTCGGGCTCTATCAGGCCAGGGTCTCTCATCACAGGTGGGGGAGACAGGGCACCCACAGCCATCTCCCAGCACCCACCTCCGTGTGCTTTCATCAGCTGGGTTCAGTCCAAAGATGTCCAGCTCCTTCTTGGGCTTCTCAGGGTGGCGGCTCAGGAAGCTGTCCCTGTTCTTGTGCAGGTAGTTGACCAAGTCTCCGTAGAAGCAGTACTCAGTGATGATGTAAATGGGGCCTGTGGACCGGAAGTGATGGAAGAAGAGGTAAGAGGAGAAGCACGGAGGCTGCCAGGTGGTGTGCAGCTGGCAGAGATGCTCCCCAGAAACACAGAGCTTAGTCAACACAAGACCGTGCAGCCCCCCTCAAAGGACAGTTGCTCCCCATATCGGGGTGGAGGGTGCGGGGACTCTGCTCCCTGGAGTGTCCAGGTGGAGAGTGGGTGGGATCTATTCTGTGGTGTGTCAGGGTAGAAAACAGGGACAACCCTGTTCACCACGTGTCACACCCAGATGTTCCGGGAAGCCCCTCCGGGCAGCAGGCACACCTGACTTGGTGCAGGCTCCCAGCAGGTTCACAATGTTCAGGTGTGGCCCCAGGTGAGTCATGATCCTCAGTTCGGACATGAGTGCTTGCTTCTCACTGGATCTGGCTGTGGCTGATGGGAATAAATGTCATATGTCAGGTCACCTGAGCTGCCTTCCATTCTCAAAAAAGCCAAGAACACGATTCAGTCTGCGACTGGGTGTCCGCGTATATACCATGAGCCTAGGGACACGTGGGTGGGGACTCAGTCTGGACTCTGATCACTAATCTGGGTCTTCCAGGTAACAAGAAATCACTAGAAATAACAATGCTTGATTTTCCAACATACGGGCATCAACAACAATCCAAATAAACCTAGCTGACAAAATCATCTAAACATACATAAAACCTGGAATCTTAAAAACCAAGACTGAGTCCTACATTTCTTGTGTACTGGCTGTGTGATTCTGGCAATTTTTTTTTTTTTTTTGAGTAGGAGTCTCACTGTCACCCAGGCTGAAGTGCAGGGCCATGCTCACAGCTACCACAGCCTCGACCTACTGGGCTCAGGCTATCCTTCCACCTCAGCCTTTCAAATAGCTGGAACCACAGGCGGGTGCCATCACACCCAGCTAATTTTTTGATTTACTGTAGGGACAAGGTCTTGCCAAGTTGCCCAGGCTGGTCTCAAACCCCTGGGTTCAAGCAATCCTCTTGCTTTGGTCTCCCAAATTGCTGAGATGATAGGCGTGAGCCACCATGCCCGGCCCTGAGTAAATTCTCTTAATAGTTCCATGTTCCAAAACTCCCCAGGAAGGACACTTACGTTTCAGCATCTTCACCGCCACCTTCATGACAGGCTGGGAGCGGCTTAATCCGTAGGCTGTTCCTTCAACCACTTTCCCAAATGCTCCTGATCCCAGGACACGGCCTGTGGGAAACCAGAGCTGTTAACATGAGCGAGCTGCAGGGTCTGCTTCATGGCACCCCATAGCCAGGCCCAGCAGTTATGCAGCAGGGGGGTGTCCTCCCTGCAGGGAGCACTTAGTGCTATGACCAGGCCAAGCAGGTATGTGGCTGGGTGGGCTTCCTCTCTGCAGGGAGCACTGAATGCCATGATCAGGCCCAGTGGGTGCAGAGCCGGGTAGACATCCTCTCCCCGCAGGGAGCATAGAGTGCCATGACCAGGCCCAGCCGGTGCACACGGATGGAAGTCCTCCCTGCACGGAGCACTGAGTGCCAGCACCAAGCCCAGCATCCATGCAGCCGGGTAGCAGTCTTCCCACACAGAGTTTTTCCTGCATGAAAAAGCTGATTCTAAGGAGTGATTTCTTCCATGTGGGGTGACATAAAGGTTCCTCCAAGTCATCACATCAGAAGCAGGACTGCACCCACAGGGTGGGAAGTCAGTGTACTTGCTTTTGTTGAGTAATATTTTCGAGCAGTGGGAAAACAAAGACAGGGGAGGATGGCACACCCCCACCCGCCCCGCATGAGCTGCCATCTCCCAGTCCCATCCAGTCCCGAGCGCCTGGGCACCGCCCTTGTGGCTCTTGCCCAAGCCTCCCGGTTCGCGACCCTTCTGTTTTCCACATGCAAACCAGGGCATCTTTTGCATTAATAAATCCTTCACCACCGGAAATACTTCAGTATTCAAAACACCGCTGCTTCCAAGGAGTGATTAAGTCAAAGCTCCAGGCTGCACACTGCTGCCGCTTGCAAAGGGAGGCCACACCAGCTCAGGCTGAACAGCCCGGGAAACACAGCTCTTTGCATCATAGTGGGACATACAAAAAGCAATTGAGTCACACATGGTGGCTCTCACCTGTCATCCCAGGGCTTTGGGAGGCCAAGGAAGGAGGATCACTAGAGCCCAGAACTATGAGACCAGCCACGGCAACATAGTGAGATCTTATCTCCACAAAAAATTTTTAAAAATTAGTCAGGTGTGGTGACGCACATCTGCAGTCCTGGCTAGTTGGGTGGCTTCGGTAGAAGGATCACCTAAGTCCAAGAGGTCAAGGCTGCAGTGAGCTGTCATTGTGCCACTGAACTCCAGCCTGGGTGACAAAGTGAGACTCCAACTCAAAAAAAGCAATTGAAGCTGTGGTCCCCACCCCGAGAGAGTTCACAGTCCAAGAGAATGTCCCAGTGTTGGCCTCACCATGGAGAGACTGCTCACATGGGGGCAGCTGACACTGCATCTGTCCGCACATCTGCAACCCAGGACTGTGCCTGGGAAGGTGTCGCCTCCACAGCAACTTGCAGTACCCAGGAGCACAGAGACAGAGAAACACGTTGGGCGCATCGGGGAGTAAACCCTTTCCCCACATTTTATTACATGCCACCTTCCCTGAGCTCCTCGCCCCTTCTCAGGGGAGAGGAAGGAAAGACAGTAATGAGAGCTTGGCTGGAATGCTATGGGATGGGGGCAGCCGAGTCTTTGTAGGACTTCAGGTTAAGTGGGTCTTGGAAGACCTGAACTCTGTATTTTAGAAAGAGATAGGATTGGCTGGGCTCGGTGGCTCAGCCTGCAATCCCAGTACTTTGGGAGGCCAAGGCAAGTGAATTGCCTGAGTCCACGGGTTTGAGACCAGCCTAGGCAACTTGGTGAGACCTCATCTCTACAATAAATAAATAAATAAATAAATAAATTAGCCGGGCACAGTAGCACGTGCCTGCAGTTCCGGCTACTTGGAAGGCTGAGGCAGAAGGATCGCCAGAGTCCAGCAGGTGGACGCTGGGGTGGCCATGAGCATGCCACTGCACTCCAGCCTGGGCAATAGAGACTCCAATTCAAAAAGAGAGAGAGAGAGAGAGATGGTATCATTAAAAACTGTACTTGGGCTGGGCACGGTGACTCACACCTGTCATCCAAGCACTTTGGGGGGCAGAGGTGAGAGGATTGCCTGAGCCCATGGGTCCCAGAACTATGAGACCAGCCAGGGCAGCATAGTGAGACCTCATCTCCACAGAAAATTTTTAAAAATTAGTCAGGTGTGGTGACGCACATCTGCATCTACAATAAACCAAAAAATTAATCGGGTGTGGTGGCGCATACCTGTAGTTCCAACTACTTGGAAGGCTGAGGCGGAAGGATTGCCTGAGCCCAGCAGGTCAAGGTTGTAGTAGCCATGAGCGTGCCCATGCACTCCAGCCTGGGTGACAGAGCGAGACTCCAACTCAAAAACAAAACAAAACTGCACTTGGCATCCTTTGAAGCACCTGTCCCTCAGTCATCAACACACCCTCTGCCTGTTTCTCACGTGTTGTCTCGCATCCATTTGTTCAGAACGGGGCATAAAAACAAAACAAAACTCCCTGGGACTAAAACTTCATTCACTTGGTCTCAGCATGGGACCAAAACATTAGTAAAGCTTGTGACAAGCCGGCTTGCTGGTTTTTACGTATTTGGCTTTAAATGTACCTATATTTTTATATTCCGTCCTCCAAGCATGTAGATAGAAGTACTGAGTGCATCCTCAGAGTGCACTGAGTCAATATTCATCTTGGGGCCGTCCTCATTCCTTATCTGTTCTTTGCAGTCGCAGAAATTCATCTCATTTTCAATTAGCACCATTTCCAAAACAGAGCTCTTTCGGAGGGAATGCTTACAGTCCTCTTCACAGTCTCTTCTCCCTTTGTAAGATTTTCTCCAACCATAATTTTTGATGGAATGATATTTTTAAAATATCATGGCAGGGCCGTATGAGGTGACTCACACCTGTAATCTCAGCACTTTGGGAGGTTGAGGTGGGAGGATTGCTTGAGTCCAGGAGTTCAAGACCAGCCTGGGCAACATAGCAAGATCCCATCTCTACAAAAAAGTCAAAAAATTAGCTGGATGTGGTGGTGTCTGCCTGTAGTTCCATCTACTTAGAGGGCTGAGATGGGAGGGTCACCTTAGTTCAGGAAGTCGAGGCTGAGCTGTGATGGTGCCATGGCACTCCAGCCCAGGTCACAGAGTGAGATCCCAACTCACAAAAATAAATAGACATCATCGCAGTCATCCAACCAGCTCATTTAAAGATGGAAACACGTTTCTGAAAGCCAGTGTCTGTTGTCTGGCTCTTTCCACACACAAGCTCAGTCCCTCAGTTTGCCAAAGCCCCATAGATAGCCCAGCTGTTATAAGTGAGGGGCGTCCTGGGTGGGCCCCCCATGGGCGCTTACCAAGCACGAGTCCATCTCTCGGAAACTCCCATCTCGAGTCGTATGGCAGCTGCATTGGGTCCACGTAGATGTACTCGTGTCCATCGGGGCTGATAGACTCAATGACTCTCCAGCGAATCTCATATCTCGGTTTCTACAAATGACCGGGACAGGGAACGGGTAAATTACCACAGTCCCAATGCATCAAAGCTTCACCACAGCAGCAGAGACTGGGCACAGAGGGCCCGTGACATCCACGTGACGCCATTCTCGAGCTCCTGCCCTACGCCAAGGGTGAGCCAGGTGGCCTCGCTTCCTGATCTTGCTGGCTTCAGGATGTTCCATTCTTTGAGAAGACACCCACCTGCTTCCAAATGACAACCAGGACAATCAGCGAGATGATCACAATCGCCAGCAGCACGAGAACTGCAGCCGCCACGGTGAGCTCAGAACGCAGGGCTGGGGACAGACAAGAGAGAGGTGTCCATGCAGGGACGGGGGACTTTGGGGCCATGTCTGGACCAGGATGCTCTCCCTGCTGGGGGAAGGCAACCATGAGGGCCATCTTGCTCTCAGAGACAGGCACCACTGTCCCTCAAATAAGCCGGGAGACCACACCAACTCTTCCCTTAGACAGGAACAGCGCAAACTCTGGCAGCGCCCTCAGCACATTCCCAAGGTGCCTGGCAACCTCCTCTGGACAGTTCAGATAGGAACAATCACAACTGGTGGGGGAGACCAACGTGCAGGAGCCCTGCAGCACAGCCTCAAGATGAGGCCCCATGGGAAGGCTGCCCCCTGCTGGCAGCACTTCGAGCGAGCTTCGTCTTAGAAGGGGCAGTGGGAAGGACTCCCTCCCTCCCTCAAGACACAGATACCCAGACCAACGACACTGACGCTCTGGCACTGCCGTTCAGACCCTAGACACCTTCAGAACACTCATGGTGGCATTCCCGTCTTGGGACCTGCCTGCCTGTCTGACCTGGGGACTCCAAGCTCCCCTGTGGGAGCTGGGCTCTGGACGCGCCATCCTGACTGTGGGGTGACTCACTGGCAGCCACCAGCTTCAGCTCCCGGCTCTCGGCTCCGAGGAGATTCCGGGCCAGGCACCGGACCGCAAGGGTCTCCTCCACCTTGGCGAAAGCCACACGGCTCTCCACGGTGCTCCTGCCCCGGGGCTGGGCCTCCATGATGATGTTGGAGAGGTTGCCAGCCAGCATCGTCCACGAAGTTTCATTGTTGCATCTAGAGGACAGGGTCAGTCACTGGGTGCCATGGCGGGGGGCGGCAGGATGCTGAGACAGCAGGGGCCTGACCAGGTCCACCCTTGGCTGACTGTCCCATGTGCGTGCAGTTAACATTACAACAGGTTTGCACACACTCAAGCGGGAACAGCCAACACATGAACAACAAGATGGACGTCTATGCAGGACAGGAGTACACAGCTGGGCAAAGCGATCTCCATCCCCAGCCTCGAGACTGTGAGTCAAGTGAACAACTCAGCTTCCAGTGTGTTCACTGATCCTAGCCTCCCACACTCACAAAACCTCCCACCCTGGTGCCTCCCTCACGCCACCCTCACAGGGAAGAGCCCCTAAGGTGCCATGGGGTTAGAGCAAAGTCCCCTGGACTGGCCTCCAGCTCCAGTCTGGACTCTACTGGAATTCTATTCCTTGGCTCTGCGGGGACAGTGGGGTGGATTCTCAGCCTCCAGGAAGACATAGCCACACTTCTGAACACACCCAGTCACCATGAGTGGACACGTGGCTCCTGTGGCCCTTTAGGGGGGAGAAAAAGTTGGGCATGGTGGCTCACGCCTGTAATTCAGCACTTTGGGAGGCCAAGGCAGGAGGATTGGTTGGGCCCAGGAGTTTGAGACCAGCCTAGGCAACATAGCAAGACCTTGTCTCTACAATAAATTAAAAAATTAACTGGGCATGGTGGCGCATGCCTGTAGTCCCAGCTACTTGAAAGGCTGAGGAGGGAGGATCACCTGAGCCCAGGTTGAGGCTGCACTGAGCTATGATCGTGCCAGTGCACTTCAGCCTGGGTGACAGATGAGACCCCAACTCAAAAAAAAAAGTTGAAGAAGGGGGCATTGGGGAGAGAGCCCCACAAGCAGCAGGTGAGCTTATGAGGTGTGAACATGTGAGCAATAGTTATGCCACACGCCAGTCCAGCCCCCAAAGTTTACCAAATGTGCGCCAGGGTAGTCAAATCCTCTTAGCACAGCACTTCTTAAAATCTACCTTTTTTTGCAATTGAGACCCTTTGAGTGCCTGAGGAAAGCCACAGATCTCCTCCCGACAGCTGTCCATGAACACATATCCCTGAGGCTGGAGTCTGTGTTCTTCAGAGCCTGATCCTGGGGTCTATAAGTTACATGAGCCTGAGGCCAAGAGGAATCACAAACACAGGAGGTCCCCAACGTACGAGTGCGTTCCGAGAGTACATTTGTAAGTTCAATTTGTTGTAAGTCCAACAAAGTTAGCCTCGGTACCTAACTCACACAATCAGCTATATAGTACTGTATGTATTTAACAGGTTATGCTGACACCTGGTGGAGAGAAAGAATACATACAAGAGCTCAGGTGTGCATTGTTAAAGTTCGTAACTTGAAGGTTTGTATGTAGAGACTTACTGTACCGAAAAAGGCCAGCAAAATAACTGAGGGCCTCTCTGTCAAGGGAGAAACATTCTAACCACAAAAGAACAAGAAACATCTGACCTCCACACCTCTTAATATCCTTGCAAACCATCCACTCAATGTCTGGAAGCGGTGTGCCGGCCGCCATGCACCTCACTGTCTGTCCCCCTGAAGAGCCGTGGTGATCATCGACCAGGTCCAGGATGGAAGCAGGAACTGTAAGAAGCAGAAGACGTCAGATGCAAGAGTCCATGCCCAGTACTGGAGGCTACACAGGGGATATGTGTTCAAATGTGTCCACGACACTGAGACCATCCACGAGGGCTGGAACCATCCACAGGAGCTGGAACCAGTTGTGGGAGGCACGTTCCAGTGTGGACAAACCCACTCTGCCGAAACCATTTTCAATCTCCATGTCTTGGGAGTTCTGCCTGTGCTATTTTAAATCCAGAGTGACCAACTGTGGTGGCTCACGCCTGTAACCCCAGCACTTTGGAAGGTGGAGGTAAGAGGATTGCCTGAGCTTGGAGGTTTGAGAACAGCCTGAGCAACAAGGCAAGACCTTGTCTCTACAATAAATCAAAAAATTAGCCAGGCGTAGTAGCGCATGCCCCTCTGGTTCCAGCTACTTTGAAGGCTGAGGCGGAAGGATCACCTGAGCCCAGCAGGTCGAGGCTATGGTGGCCATGAGTGTGCCATTATACTCCAGCCTAAGCGACAGAGTGAGACTCTCACTCAAAAAAAAAAAATTCAGAGTGAAGAAAGTGAAAAGGACAGCTGGTTGTGGTGGCTCAGACCTGCAGCCCCAACTACTTGGGAGGCTGAAGAGGGAGGACCACTTGAGCCCAGGAGTTTGAGGCCCACCTGGGCAACATAATAAGAACCCCCCCCCCTTCTTTAAAGGCAAGTGAAAAGTCCCTGTGGTTATTTTCCTTAAAAGAGAAAGAGCCTCCAAAAATGTTATTATAGCTCGGGATTCAACTAACAAACTCAGTTCAAGTATAATAGAAAGCAGCGTTCACCAAAATATATCTGTGAAATGTTACTAGGTTCTAAAGATTCTTTATTTTATATTATTTTATTTTACTTTATTTTATTTATGAGTCGGGGTCTCACTCCATCACCCACACTAGAGTGCAGTGGCACAATCCCGGCTCACCACAGCCTGGACCTCCTGGGCATTCCTTCCGCCTCAGCCTCCTGCATAACTGGGACTACAGGCATGTACCACTACACCCAGCTAATGTTTTGATTTATTGTGGAGACGAGGCCTCGCTATGTTGCCCAGGCTGGTCTTGCACTCCTAGGCTCAAGCAATCCTCCCTCCTTAACCTTCCAAAGTGCTGGAACAATAGCTATGAGCCACCACAACTGGTCTAAGATTTTTTTTAATCTGTTTCAAATACATTAGAGATCTGTTGATGCTACTATCACAGACTCCCTGTGAGGACCAAATGAGCCCACCCAAGACAGCTCCTGGCCCTTGGCGGGGACCCAAACAGGTGCTCACCTGAGTGTAGACACACCTGGGTGCTCTGTTCTGGTGGAGAGTGCATGGCGCCCTCAAGGGAGGCTGAGCAAAATGCTCTGCCCCAGCCACAGGAACCCAGGACCACTTCCCCTCCCAGAACTGGAGGCACCAGGAAAGAGTTCGGTCCTGACCCAACAGGGGAACCCGGGGCTTCCATCAGACTGTTCCAGAGTCCCCCGGGACCTGAATCCTCACTTTTTCCACTGTGACACGTGCGTCTCCCAACCCGCCTCCCGGGCTCCTGGGGGAAGCGCACTGGCCACCGCCCACCTTGTGTCAGCAGCTCAAACGAGAAGGTCTTCAGGGCGTCTTCGTTCCGAGCCACGATTGTGTAACGGCCACTGTCTTCCTCCTTGGCCCGAATCAGTTTTAATTTGCTTCGATACCTTAAAAGAAAGAGGACTGAGTTTCACCAAGTAGGAGCAACATGCAGTCCCATCGTTCAAGCAATAGGTCTTCCAACCAAATACTATTTTTGTAAAAAGCAGTAGCATCTTTCTTCCTTGTCTGGAACTTCTCTTTCCTCAGGCTCTCCACTTTGCACGTGTGGAAGGTCTGCCCCATTGACACAATTCTCACAAGAAAAATCCAGGCATCTTGACATGAGCAGTGGGCGGGATCTCCAGGAGCCCTCAGTTCTGCTGGAGCCTGGCTACTGACTGAGTGGGAATAAACATGGCTGAGAGGGCTCTTCTTTTTTATTTTTATTTTATTTTTTTAAAGTCAGGTGCACTGGCTCATGCCTATCATCCCAGCACTTTGGGAGGCGGAAGCGAGAGAATTGCCTGAGCCCAGGGGTTCCAGATCAGCCTGGGCAACTTGGTGAGACCTCATTTCTACAATAAATCAAAAAATTAGTCAGGTGTGGTGGTGCACACCTGTGGTTCCAGCTCTTGGAAGGCTGAGGCGAAGGATCATCTGAGCCCAGCAGTCGAGGCTGCCGTGGCCGTGAGTGTGCCACTGCACTCCAGCCTGGGCGACAGAGTGAGACCCAACTCAAAACAAACAAAAAACAACCTTGACTTTTGCATTTTTGAAAAAGACTCTGTCCTCCAAACGCCCACCGCTGGGGCAGCTCTGCAGAGCGCTGGAGGAATGCCGTGCTCTGCCTGCAGCTCCGAGGAGTCCGGAGGGCCGCACGCACCTGCTGGCTGGTATCTACTCTAAGAGACTCTGGAAGGTTCCACAGAAACCTGAGGAAGCTAGACAGAGCCTGAGTGGGTGGAGGGGCACCTGACAGACAGACAGGAGGCAAGCAGGGTCTCTCGCAATGCAGTCGCTCCGCATGTGCACAGCAAGGGCCTCTCCACCTGATCCGGAGATGCCACTTCCTGCTTAAGGAGGGCAGCTTCCCAGGCATCTTTGTGTCTTACAAGACACCTGGCCGTGTGTGCACGCATGTGAACAGAGGATGGCTGGGCAATGGCCCTTGAGAAGACATCCCGACATGGAAGAGCAGCTGGAACAGAAGGAAAGCACTGGCTGTGAAGCAAGAGGACCTGGACACTGTAGAAATGCCCCTGCCTTGGTGTCCTCATGTGTAAACCGAGATTGCTGTACACACATCGCAGTCACCCCAAGGATTCCTTAAATGCAGTCACGAGCGTGAAAGCATCCCATAGGCTTGAGGGCACCCTATGGATGCTGGCGCAAGGCCTGCGAGGATTGGCTGGCCTCCCAGGATGGGCTGGCCTCCCCACCTCACCACACCGGACGGCTCTAGCTCCAACTTCCACGGAGGCCCATGGGCATGCTGGGTTCCCAGATGCTTCTCCTTCCATCTTCATCATCCACACTTGGCCAGCCAAGAAAGCCAGCAGGCCCTGGCATCCAGTTCGATGAAACAGTGTCCGTCCACCATACTCATCCTTGGATTCTCTGGCCCATAAAAGGAACGAACACACGTGCTGAAGGATTCTTGGATCCCTGCAGCAGGCAGCCTTCCAGGGCCTTTCAGAGGCACCCAGGACTTCCAGGACATTCTAGAGTCTTCCAGGACCTTCTAAAGACTCCCAGGGCCTTCTGGAGCTTCTAGAGTCTTCCAGGGCCTTCCAGAGCCTTCTGGGGCCTCCCAGGAAGTTTTAGGGCCTTCTAGAGGCACCCAGGACCTCCAGGATCTTTTAGAGCCTTCCAGAGCCTTCTGGGGCCTCCTGCGGTCTTTTAGGGTCTTCCAGATCCTTCCAGGGCCTTCTGGAGTCTCCAGGATCTTCCAGGGTCTTCCAGAGCCTTCTAGGACCTCCCACGGCCTTTGGGGGCCTACCAGAGTCTCCCAGGATCTTCCAGGGCCTTCTGGAGCTTCTAGGGTCTTCCAGGGCCTTCCAAAGCCTTCTGGAGCCTCCCAGGGTCTTCCAGGATCTTCCAGGGCCTTCCATAACCTTCTGGGACCTCCCAGGGCCTTCCAGAGTCTCCCAGAGCCTTCCATAGTCTTCCAGAGCCTTCTAGAGCCCTCTAGAGACTTCCAGAGCCTTCTGGGGTCTTCTGGAGACTCTCAGAGCCTTCTAGAGCCTTCCAGGACCTTCCAGAGGCTCCTAGGACCTTCAAGGGCCTTCCAGAGCCTTCTAGAGCCTCCCAGAGCCTTTCAGAGTCTTCCAGGGCCTTTCAGAGCCTCTCAGGGTCTTCCAGGGCTCTCACTGCCCAGCTTGCCATGTCCCTGCTACCAACCATTGCCTGTGGATGTTGCTCACTCGCGCTCAGGTGTCAGCTGGACCCAGGCCTCGCACTTCATGGGAAGGCCTGTCTTGCTGTGCACCTGCATGTCATGTCTCCAGAAAGCCTTCCAGGTCCTGATTCCACACCGTCTCCACACTGCTCTTGCGTGGCCATAAAATGCTCCTCCCCAGACGCTGCTTCTCAGTCTCACAGGAATTCTCTCAGAAAGCAGCCAGCAGGTCCTGGGGTCCAGTGAGCTGAGGAGAAAGGTTCTGTCTCCCCATTCTGGAAGGGCTGGGACACGGGACTGACTTGGTCTCCTGGGACGATGCTGACAAAGGCATGAGCTGAATTGGCTGAGCCCTTCAAGGCCCCTCCTGATTCTTGGCATCTAATCCCGGCTCAGAGCTGTGAGAGGCTCCAGCCAACACCCATCTCACTTCTCACCCTGAATGACACACGGCGTTACTCAGCATGCGCCGTGAACAAGGACACAGAGCCAAAGGCGATGTCCCAAAGCTCCACCCCCAGTTACAAGCTGAGCACAGCCACCACTCTGACCAAAAGACAAGGCCTTGGGATCCTCCGGGCCTTGCTACCCTGGCCAGACGTAGCGGGCAGCCATCTTCCTCCCCATGGAGGCCTAGCTGGGGGCACGTGTGCTCCAAATTCAGCCCTCAGCCTGCTGTCTCCCGTGCGTTCCTGTGATGACTGCCAGCAAATGCGCCCACTTGCTACGTGGGTGGAGAATGTCAAGGAGTGGGTGCGACCCACACAGATACCACTCCCCATTCTGTCCTCGCCCTGGCAGCCACCAGAGAGCTGCTGCGCTGGAGAGGGGAAGCCCTCGGTCCTCTTCCTTGTCACCCTATGAGATACTCTCCAGCAAACCACGACCAAGTCAGTGTTATCATCAGGACCTGACCACACACACCTCTCAGCTCAGCCTGCTGCAGGTCCTAGACCACCTCGGTAGACTAGGACATGTGCAACCCTGGCCTGTCTTGGGACACACAGGACAGGCTGTTGGAGCACACGCCTCCCTACCTGGTCTCCTGCACCTTCTCCACGTCCGTGGTGATCTCCGTGAGGTTTGCCGTGAGCGTCAGGTTGTCTTTCAGCCAGGAAATGTGGGGTGGCGGGTAGGCCTGCACGTCCACCACGAAGTGCCTGACCTCATGCAGGTTGACGGCCTCCCACGGGCTGACGGCAGGCTGGATGTCCACGAAGCCTCTCTCTGTACGGGGAGAGTGTCTGTGAGGCAGGGCTCACCACAGGCCAGCCTCACGCAAGGAACGGCCAACGCGGCAGGAAGTAGGCTGTACCGTGCACAGAGACAGTGACTCTCTTCGTCTCTTGGACCTCCCTGGTGGCCAGTCGGGCCGTACATTCGTAATCTCCACTGTCCTTCACCGTGGCCTTGGGGACCGTCAATGTGTACACCAGTTTCATGGATGGGACCTTGAATTCCTCCAGCATGATGGTGCCTTTACCATTCTACAGAAGGGGAAGAAAACCGACTTTCACAAAACTCACTCCTGAGAGTGGGCTCGAGGGTAAACTACCAACTCTGGCCGGGTGTGTGGGCTCATGCCTATAATTTCAGTGCTTTGGAGGTCAAGGCAGGAGGATTGCTTGAGACCAGTAGTTCAACATCAGCCAGGGAAACATAGTGAGACCCCTGTGTCTACCAAAAATTTGGGGCGTGGTGGCATGCACCTGTAGTCCCAGCAACTTAGGAGGTTGATGTGGGAGGATTCCCTGAGCCCAGAAATTCGAAGCCAAGGTGAGCTGTGATAGCACTAATGCACTCCAGCCTAGGCAGCAGAGCAAGATCCTGACTCTAAAAAGAATGAAGAATAAACTATGAACTCCAGGTGACAAAGATGTGTGTATGTAGGCTCATCAATGATAAGGAATGTCTGGCGAGGGCACTGGTGATGGGGGAAGCTGTGCCGGTGGGGCAGGGGCTGTATGGGGGGGGTCTCTGTACCCCTCACTCAATGTTACTGAGACCCTAAAACTGTTCTAAAGAATGAAGCCCAGCAGTCGCTCACGCCTGTCACTCCAGCCCTTGGGGAGGCAGAGGCAAGAAGATTGCCTGAACCCAGGGGTTTAAGACCAGCCTGGGAACTTTGGAGAGACTTCCTCTCTATAAATAATCAAAAAATTAGCCGGGTGTGATGGCGTGTGCCTGTGGTTCCAGTTACTTGGAAGGCTGAGGCAGAAACATCCTCTGAGCTCAGCAGGTCAAGACTGTGGTGGCCATGAGCATGCAACTGCCCTCTAGCCTGGGTGACAGAGTGAGACTCTGGCTCAAAAAAAAAGAAAAATGTAAGAAAAAGTAGCCAGGCATGGTGTCACGTGCCTGTGGTTCTAGCTACTTGGAAGGCTGAGGTGAAAGGATCGCCTGAGCTCAGCAGGTCGTGGCTACAGGGGCCGTGAGCATGCCACCTGCACTCCAGTCTGGGCAACAGAGTAAGACCTCACCCCCCCCAAAAAAAAAGCCAGTCTTTAGAAAAGCATGCTTTAAAGGATAGTGTGTGACATGCATGAGCTGTTTGTGGTACGCTGCTGGAGAAAGGAGGAAACGGTACACTTTAGAGAATAACACCATCTATCTCTGCGAAAAAAAACCTGAAAGATTTACCTTCCTAAAACACGAGCAGTGATGTGCTAGAAAGGAGCTTTCCTGTTTTCTCTACATTTCACATAGCTTTGACAATAAACCTGTTTTACTTTTGTAATCGGAAAAAGGTATGTTGTCTAAAGCAACGCTTTGATGACGCATTTGTGAGTCAAAGAACATGTACTTTGGCTTGAAAAAAAATGTTCTGTCTCTCATAAATGCAGAGTCAAGGTTTCAGGAATTAAAGTGAAAACAGTAAAGGCGATTGTGTTGCATTTCAGGGAAGACATGCACACATGGAAGACGTGCACACGTGGACTGCAGACGCCCTTCCGCGCCAGGGTCAAAGGCAACACACGAAAACGCCCCACTTCCACGGGTGCCCAGAAAAAAGGAAAAACAGCAGCCAACTAGGAGAGAAATGGAGGGAGGAAAGGAGGGAGAGAGAGAGAGCAGCCAGATGCCAGATAGGACAGGAGCACAGAGATAGACGCGTGTCTGGGGTCTGCCCTCCACCAGATCCCGGGCCAAGGCCAGCCTTCATTCCCGACCAGCCTCCACTCCTGACCAGCCTCCACATGGTTCCCTACGCACCATCCTCAACACCCGAGAAAGTCAGACGAGATTCTCCAAGGACCAGGACGCAGCTTGGTGGCCCCTCCCAGCTCCCACCCCCACCCACTGCTGGAATGCCTGGCATGGTGCCCAAGACTCAGCAAACATCACTAAGTCTTCACCGGTTGAGTACGTAATGCCTGCTCATGTAAGGTAAGGCACACCTGACAGGCAGGAGGCAGGACAGGAGATGTGGTGCCCTGGTACCTCCAGAGCAGAAAAAGGAGGCGAGTGGGCCTTCGACATCACCAGATGCCTCAGACCCACGGAGGTGAGCAGGTAGTAAGAAAGGAGAGCTGCCTCAGTCCACCATGTCTTTCTTTTCTTTTCGAGTCGAGGTCTCATGTGTTGTCCAGGCTGGAGTGCAGCGGCACAATTACGGCTCACCACAGCCTCGACCTCCTAGGCTTATGTGATCTTTCTGCCTCAGCCTCCTGAGTAGCTGGGACTACAGGTGCGTGCCTCCGTGCCTGGCTAATTTTTAAATGTTTTTTTTGTACAGGCGAGGTCTCACCATGTTGTCCAGGCTGGTCTCGAACTCCTGGGCTCAAGCGATCTTCCCACCTCAGTCTCCCTTCCAGCTTGGCCTCCCAGAGTGCTGGGATTACAGGTGAGAGCCAATGTGCTCTGCCTGCTTTCTCCTGATTTGCTGGTTATTATCTTGCAGCTGCAGACCCTGCCTTCTTCTTCCTGGCATCTGAGAGGATGGCTCAGTGCAAGCCTTCCATATCCTGCAGGCCCTGGCCCATCCACAGCTGCCTGGAACTCTCCCCTGACCACAGAGGCACTCACTGTGGAGACAGGGCTATGGCTAGAGCAGCCTGGCACCATTGCCAGCGAGGGTGCCTACCTCTCCTCCGGGGTAGATCCACTGCAGGTCCACCACCTCGTTGTTGAAGACGGAACACAGGACCGTGATCGTCTCCCCTGACTTATACACGGTTTGGGGTGCCTCTATCTCCATGTTCATCTCGGACGCTGCCACTAAAAGAACAGATACAAGGGCTTAACATTCACGGGATAGTCAGGACCGTATGAGGTTTGGGATTGCTTGTTTTTTAAAGAAAATGCTAAAAAATAATTTGCAGACTAGTTTGATCAAGACAAAATTTAGACAATCCCAGCAGCCTTGATTTTGAGTTGGTCGACAACAATTTGGCACGTGGTTATGATTCAAAAATACAAAATGGTAATGACTGTAAAAATAAGCACCAGTTAAGCAGAACGCCACCCTCCAGGGCACGGGGTGAATGAGGGTGACGTCCCTCTGCATCGCCCATGGGTTCAGGCAGTCCTCTCACCTCCACCTCCCAAAGTTCTAGGATCACAGGCGTCAGCCACTGCACCTGCTAATATTTTGAAGTCCACTGGTGAAACAAGAAGTCTCACATGCGTTAGCAAGTTTCAGCTGCAAGTGGTTCTAAGCTTATGAGGACAGCCCAGGTCAGCCTGACACTGCACTAGGTGGGCTTCTGGGCACCCAGTTGGAGTCAGGACCTCCCTCACCAGTGATTATGGCTTTGTTAAAGGTCTTCCCTGCGTCTGATGATTCTGCCTGTTACTTAAGGAAGGAGGCCAGGGCATGAGTACCTGTCACAGCATAAATATTAAACGGGATGGTCTGGAACTTCCGTCCTCGGACAGTGGCCTCACAGACATAGGGCCCATGGAGGAAGGTCCCCACGAAGCCTGTCTTGCTGTTGTATGAGGCGGGGACCACCCCCTGGCTGTTGTGCAGGGTGACAGGCGTCTTTGGGTCCGTCGTGCGGCAAGGGATGGTGGTGGAGTCGTCATCCATCACAACAATCAAGGACTCCGTCATGCCCACGGGTACGAAGGCCACATCTGGGTCTGCGGTGGAAAAAGGGAGGAAACTCCGTGAGGTGCTAATGTCACCTTCACATACAGATCCAGAGAAACTCCATTGGCAAGACCATCATGAGACATGCTTGTGCCTTTACACACAAAACTGGAAGAGCCGCCCCCGTGACACTGGTCATCGTGACAGCTAGAAGTGACTTAAAAGTATGAAAAAGCCCAAATTGCCTGTGCCCAGATTAAAAATACCGAAAATAAACCCAAACACGAGTCAGGAATCTAAGTCAAGGGTAAACAACCACAAAAAACAAAACAGAACCCCGCTCTACTCAAAACGAGACAAATATTCTGAAGTTTTAAATTATGAAAGGCTAGGCAGGCTTGGTGGCTCACACCTGTCATCCCAGCACTTTGGGAGGCGGAAGCGAGAGGATTGCCTGAGTCCTGGGATTGGAGATCAGCCTGGGCAACTTGGCAAGACCTCACCTCTACAACAAATCAAAAAAATTAGCCAGGCACGGTGGCTCATGCCTGTAATCCCAGCACTTTAGGAGGTTGAGATGAGAGGATTGCCTGAGACCAGGAGTTTGAGACCAGTCTGGGCAACATGGCAAGACCTTGTCTCTACAACAAATTTTAAAAATTAGCTGGGTGTGGTGGTGCATACCTGTAGTTCCAGTTACTTGGAAGGCTGAGGCGGAAGGATAGCCTGAGCCCAGCGGTTTGAGGCTGCAGTGGCCATAAGCATGCCACTGCACTCCAATCTGGGCGACAGAGTGAGACTCTGACTCAAAAAAATACAAAATAAATTATGAAATGCTTTTCAAAACTCCAGTCACCTAGTCAGGAGTATTGAAAAGTAGCACAGAATCCTGTTTACTAAGAAGGAACCCCTGCAGGGCAACATCAAACACATGAGTCCACAGCCGAGAGCAAACCTGAGACTGTGCCCTCGCCACCAAGCCACTGTCGCCTAGGCACTGACAGTCCCTCACACCAGTTGAGCCAGGGCCCTGGCTCTCTTTCTCAACAGCAAAAAGATGTCTGCTCTGTTGGGCAGAACTGCAGCCTGCATGTGTGGTGCTGGGCTGGGTGGGAACAAGGTTTGTGGGTATGGACCTAAGAGTAGAAACATCGAACATTTTAAAAAATCAAAAGTAAAAAAGAAGTTTTGGACAATCTTAGGTGGACTCAGATACCTTTAGCAAACCCACGTTCCTGCCATTTTCGTCACAGCGTGGGGAAAGCCCTCCATATTTAGAGGATTTCACCAAAGGACCCTAAGTGGGAATGAAGTTGAAGTGACATCCTAAATACTCAGCCTTTAAGAAAAAAAAAGTAAGAGACAGAGTCTCAGTGGAGTGCATGATCACAGCACTCTGTGGCCTCAAACTCATGGGTTCAAGCGATCCTCCTGCCTCAGCCTCCTGAGTAGCTGGGACTTCAGGTACCTGCCACTATGCCTGTCTAATTTTGTATTTTTTGTAGAGATAGGGTCCTATTATGTTACCCTGGCTGGTCCCGAATTCCCAGCCTCAAGTACTCTTCCTGCTTCAGCCTCCCAAAGTGTTGGAGTTATAGGCGTGAGCCACTGTGCCCTGCCTTACCCTTCGCAAAAGCATTTTGCTGTTAAAAAGGAAGGTTCTCATAGATAAGAGGGTCATGAAAGATGCAAAGAGGGTGGAGATGCCCAGAGATACCCATAGTTACAGCAGGCAGGAAGAGGAACTCGTTAAGAAAAAAAAGACAGGCAGGGTGGCTCACACCTGTCATCCCAGCACTTTGGGAGGCAGAGGTGAAAGGATTGCCTGAGTCCAGGGGTTCAAAACCGGCCTGGGCAACTTGACAAGACCTTGTCTCTACAATAAAAACTAGCCAGGTGTGGTGGCATGTGCCTGTAATTCCAGTTACTTGGAAGGCTGAGGCGGAAGGATCACCTGAGCCCATCTAGTCGAGGCTGCAGTGGCCATGAACAGCATGCCACCATATTCCAGCCTGGGCGACAGAGTGAGACTCTGATTCAAAAAAAAAAAAAATTCTCAATTCATCATGAGTAAATATACCTTTTTTTTTTTTTCCTTTTTTTGAGTTGGAGTCTCACTCTGTCGCCCAGACTGGAGTGCAGTGGCCGCTCCTGACCACCGCAACCTTGACCTGCCGGGCTCCGGCAATTCTTCCGCCTCAGCCTTCCGAGTAGCCAGAATTACAGGAATGTGCTACCACGCCCAGCTGACTTTTTGATTTATTGTAGAGATGAGGTCTCACCAAGTTGCCCAGGCAGGTCTCGAACCTGCGGACTCAGGCAATCCACTCACCTCAGCCTCCCAAGGTGTGGGATTACAGGCTGAGCCACCGAGCTCAGCTGTACATTTATATTAAATCTAAAAAAAAAATGGGTGTTTTCTTGGAAAATGTATACATATTTCAAGAGACAGGGTCTTGCTGTGTTGCCCAGGCTGGTCTTAAACTTCTGGCCTCAAGTGATTGTCCTGTCTTGGCCTCCTAAGGTGCTGGGATGACAGGCATCAGCCATGGCACCCGGCCTTAACTCCAGGACGGGGTTATTAAATGTGTCCCACTTAGTTCGGTGCCTGATACACAGTAAATATTTGTCCAACTATGCTGAACTGAATAGAAATGAGTATATTTCAGATTTTTTACACACTACCAACAAAGAACATATCACAATAAAGAGATTTTCAAAATTTGATATAGCTCTGAAATGTTAACAGTGAATATTTTTTCATAATGATATTACAAAGATTTTTAACTATGTGTGCTCTATGGTTCTCAATTTTTCTTTTTTTTTTTTAAATTTAGTTGAAGTCTCACTGTCGCCCAGGCTGGAGTGCAGGGACATGCTCACGGCCACCACAGCCTCAACTGCTGGGCTCAGACGATCCACCTTAGCCTTCCAAATAGCTGGGACTATAGGCGTGTGCCACCATACCTTGCTAATGTTTTGATTTATTGTAGAGATGAGGTCTCATCAAGTTGCCCAGGCTGGTCTCAAGCCCCTGGGCTCAAGTAATCCTCTCGCCTCCACCTCCCAGAGTGCTGGGATTACAGGCATGAGCCACCGTGCCTGGCCTCAAATTTTCTCCAATAAGTATTTATTCTTTTTCTGGAGTCAATGTCTTACTCTGTCACACAGGCCAGAGTACACAGCTCACATTAGCCTTGACCTCCCCTGCTCAGGTGATCCTCCTGCCTTAGCTTCCCAGGTAGCTGGGTCTATAAGCACACCACCACCCTGCCTAATTTTTAAATTTTTTACAGAAATGAGGTCTTGCTATGTTGTCCAGGCTTATCTTAAACTCCTGGACTCCAGTGAATCTCCCACCTCAGCCTCCCAAAGTGCCGGATGACAGGCATGAGCCGCTGCACCTGCCCATTCTTACATCTGCAGAAAGCCTTATTGCAGCTAAGCAGAGGGACCCGACAAGTGCAGCCCGGGGCCCAACTCACCTGGCACGTAGACATAGACATGGCTGCCCTTGAGCTCAGCCTCCTCCGTCTGCGTGTGATTGTAGTAGCAGGTGTACAGCCCCGTGTGCCTGGCTGAGGCACTGCTCACCTCCAGCACCGACACAAAGAGGCCACTGTTGTTCTCCTCAGGTCTGATGTTCACCACAAGGTCCTGGTCCTCATACGAGGGATACTGCCAGCTCACCTCACTGTCCCCGGAGCATCTCAGAGAGAAGGGCGTGTTCAGCGACACCACCTTGTCACTCTCGTCCGGGAGGATGGACGGCAGCTGGCCAAGCAGTAGACCGGGCCCTGCAGAAGAAGGTGTGCTGACTGAGATGCAGCGAGAAAGGCCAGCATGCCAAGGCAGCGGGGAGGGGTGGGGGAGCCAGCCGTGCTCCCGCAAACAAGGACAGCTTCCACAGCCTTCCACAGTTGGGCACCTGGGCACCATGGAAGGCTGCCCTTCCAAGAGCAACAGAAACTCCAAGCAGTCTCTCCACCCTGACACCCTCTCAGCCTCCCAGGAGGGAGGACGACAGATGCCAATCCCATATTTCAGACACTTCGGCAGGACCACCAGCCACCTGAGAGAGCTCCTGGACATCCACACACCCTGCAGTATACCTCAGCTGGGGAGAGGGGTAAGGCTGGACAAAGCCCAGAGCAGACTGTCCCCACAGCCTCTGTCTCTTCCTGATGACTACCAAGCCCGGTGCAGGATAACGTGGATTTTATTTTTTTATTTTTTATTTTTTGGTGGGGGAGTTGTACCCTCACTGTTTCACCCAGCCTAGAGTGCAATGGCATGCTCACAGCCACCACAGCCTCAACCTACTGGGCTCAGGTCATCCTTCCGCGTCAGCCTTCCAAGTAAGTGTACACCACCATGCCCAGCAAATTTGTTTTTTATTTATTGTAGAGATGAAGTCTCACCATGTTGCCCGGCTGGTCTCGAACCCGTGGGCTTAGGCAATCCTCTAGCCCCGTGTGCCTGGCTAAGGCATTGCTCAAGACTCAAAAAAAAGAGAGAGAGATGGGAGTGTCCCCCTCTGTTGCCCAGACAGGTGTACAGTGGCCTCCCAAAGTACTGGGATTACAAGAATGAGCCACCGCGCCCAGCAGGTGATGTGGATTTTAACTCCCAAATAATAACTCAAGCCCACGAGTGGAAACACTGAGTTAATCCTAGAACCTTGAATTCTGGCCCAACTCCGACACCTAGAAAGCCATCAGAATCGCCATTACAAGAACTCCCTTGGGGCCCAGGCAGGAATCTCACCTGTCTACAGGTGGCCCCCAGGGTTTCTAAAGCATGTTCAGGCACCTGGGATCACCTGTCACCCTGTGAGATGCTCACAGAGCTTAGAGTGACTTGATTTCTGGTCCTGCTCAATTCATCACACCCAAACGGGCGGGGCATACAGGCACGGGCAGGCTGGGGTAACTCAGACCAGAAAAGCACCAACTCCATACTGAGCCTCAGCAGAGCATGATTATCTGGGTAAAGACTAAAGAGGTCCAATAACCATTCAACAGAATGCCCCAGTGGCATCCTCCTGGAGAGAAGAGCCAGTAAGACTTTCTAGGACCCAAACGCTCTTCTGTCATGGGATTCAGGAGAGATCACCACACAACCTAAGTGAGCTTCTTGCATTAGGAAGATACGACTTAAGGCAAGTATGACTTCCTGGGCAAAACTTTTCTCAATTGACTTTCTTTTTAAGAGATGGGAGGGGCCGGGCACAGTGGCTCAGCCCGTCATCCCAGCACTTTGGGAGGTAGAGGCAAGAGGACTGCCTGAACCTGGGGATTTGTGATCAGTGGGAAACTTGGTGAGACCTTGTCTCTACCATAAATCACAAAAAAATAGCCGGGTGTGGTGGCATGCGTCTGTAGATCTAGCTTGGATGACTGAGGCAGAAGGATCGCCTAAGCCCAGCAGGTCAAGGCTACAGTGGCTATGAGCGTGCCACAGCACTCCAGCCTGGGTGACAAGAGTGAGACTCCAACTCAAAAAAAAAAAAGAGAGAGATGGGAGTGTCCCCCTCTGTCGCCCAGACTGGTGTTCAGTGGCTATTCACAAATGAAGCCTTGAGCTCCTGGCCTAAAGGGATCCTCCCACCTCAGCCTCCTGAGTAGTTGGGACAACAGGCGTACATCACCATGCCCAGACACACATGCCTTCATCTGCTGGAAGCCCTGGTCCCAGGAAAAGGAAGACAGTGGTGAAGATCATCACCAATAGCAAGCCAGGGCCAGGGTTGCACAGGCTCTGAAACCTGAGAGTGCTCCGTGAGAGTGCTCCGTGTGGAATGAAGTGCTGAGAGTGCTCCGTGTGGAATGAAATAAGGGCAACCCGGCAAGGGAAGTGACGGTGCTGGAGGCTCTGGATCCCGGCCCACAGCTTTCTGTCTCTCATCCTCTCTGGACTGTGGGTGCAGGGGCCACCCCACGGAGACTGAAGCCTGGGAGAGAAGGGCCCGGACAAGGACTTGGGGCAACAGCCATACCTGTGAGAAGACAGACCAGCACCAGGAACACCCGGCAGGAAGTCCCCATAGCTCCGGAAAACTGGAAAAGTCAAAGGCAGAGAGAGACAGTGTCAGCCAGCAGCACCCACCGCCACTCCCTCTCCTGTGCGCCTGACACGATGGGAAACTTGAACAGCATTGTTCTTGCCTAAAGTGTCCAGTTTAAGATCTAAAACAGTGCGAGGCCAAAGGAGACCAAAGGGGCCCCAGACCACAGCAGGAGCCATCCCTACACGAGACACATGGGAACCAGGACCACGGCAGGAGTCATGCCCATGCCAGAACACAGGGCCCCAGACCACGGCAGGAGCCATCCCCACACGAGGTCCACTGGGACCAAGACCATGGCAGTAGCTACCTGCACACGAGGCCCACGGGGACCAGTGCCACAGCGGGAGCCATTCCCATGCCAGCCCATGGAGACCAAGGGGCCATGGCAGAAGCCAACTCCATGCATGGCCCACCAGCACCAGGACCACAGCAGGAGCCATCCCCATGCCAGCCCACAGAGACCAGGACCACGGCGGAGGCCATCCCCACATGAGGCCCCCTGCGACCAAGACCACAGCAGGAGCCACCTCCACATGAAGCCCATGGGGACCAGAACCACAGCAGGAGCAATACCCATGCCAGCCAATGGGGACCAGGACCATGGCAGGATTCATTCCCATGCCAGCCCACAGGGACCTAGGCCATGGCGGGAGCCATCTCCATGCAAGGCCCGCAGGGACCAGGACCACAGCGGGAGCCAAGCCCACGCAAGCCCACTGGGACCAGAACCACCAAGGAGCCATCTCCACGCCAGCCCTCCAGGACCAGGAACATGACAGAGTCATTCCCACGCCAGCCCACCAGGACCCAGACTACAGTGGGAGCCGTCCCCATGACAGCCCACCCAGACCAGGACCACAACAGAGCTTTCAGGTCCTGGGTGTCCACGTGCACAGGAGAACTGTTCCTTTAGACCATTTAAATTAAGAACGTAAACAACAAAGACACGAATGCAGGTGTTTTCTTGACCTCCTACCCAGAGCTGTCTTCATACACGGTGATCACCACTTGCCTCCTGTTTTGGCTTCTAGAGAGTTGGCAACCCGCACAACCGTGGGGCAGTGACTTAGGCTAGAGCAAGTGTCCTCAAATTCAGAGTCACCTGCCCTAAAGTTTCGGAAATGCCCACTTAACCAACGTCACTTGGAGGAGGCCTTGGTGACCCAGGCAGGCACCAGGTGGGCACCTGGGCTCCTGCCAGGGGTCCTGTGGGAGCCCTCGTGGGGACTCTCAGGCAGGGAGGAGTAACCAAAATGGTGAAGAAGGGGGGACAGAGGTGTGACGACCCCCACAAGAGAAGCAGCAAACGACAGGATGAAAGCCATTGGTGCTGACCACCAGCGTTCACGTGAGGCTGACACCTGCGGGAACCAAGTTCCAGGTCCTCTGATTTCCTAGAAAGACTGGGAGAAAGAGACAGAACCTGAATGTCCCCAAAGCACAAACAGGGCAAGGAGTGGGACGGAGGGAAGGGACAGAGGAAAAGCGTGTAGAGGAGCGAGAAATCGCGGGGCCTGCTCCCTGGGTAAGGCCAGGATGGGCCTTCTGGAAAAGTCCCCGGAAGGACCCCTCTTCATCATCTGTTCCGATCCACACCTCTCCCCCACTTCAATCTTCCCTGTCCAAGTGATATCACTGACGTGGACTCGCTGGAGTCTGTGAGGAGGAGCTGCAGGCAGACCTCCTGGTGCTGGCTTCTATGCACCCACGTTTCCACAGAAGAGGCCATGCAGAGGGCCTGGGGGACCCCAAGCTTTAAGTCAAAACACAGAACACATCCCCGCCTTGGCCTTGGCCCGGATGGGGCCCAAGCAGCCCCCCAGTTCCTGCTGCGGAGTGGGCACAGAGGACTTCATTTGTTCCGCTGCTGACTCCGGCAGTGAAGGCATGCCCATGACACCCAACACATGGTCGCGAAAAACAAACAAGGAGAATTTCGACGTGTTCCACGTTCAGCCTCACAGGTGTTACTTGTTTCTGTTGGAAAGGACCAAGCAGATCACAGCCCAAATGTAGTTTTCGTTTGTTTGGTCTTTTTTTTTTTTTTTATTGTAGAGACGAGGTCTCGCCAAGTTGCCCAGGCTGGTCTCGAAACTCCTAGACTCAGGCAATCCTCTTACCTCCTCCTCCCAAAGTGCTGGGATGACAAGAGCGAGCCACTGTGCCTAGCCCCAAATGTGGTTTTCATGGCCCTGATCGTGCATTTTTGCTTTAAGGTAGTCCACCTGCAAGAATTCGGTTTCGGCTGTCTTGGGCGGCACTGCAGAACTGGGGGAGGAAGACGGTGAAAGGTGGTCGGGTGGTCATGGGAGGTGTGGACTGGACACAAAATGCAGCAGAAGAATGAGAAGCTGTGACTCACTATGCTGGAGTCCCCGGTTATGTGCTATGCTTGGTTAGAGTGCCCTGTGGTGCAGTGAAGGCCCAGAGGGGGTTGGCCAAGGACCCCAAGTCACACAGCTGGTGGCAGAGCCAGAATTTGAGGTCTATGTGATGCCACATGGTCTCTGTGAGGGGAGTCTGCGTTCCTGCCACTCCCATGCTCCAACTCTTTTCTAGCGCAAGTTTCAATCCTCTGTTCACTGCAGCGGGGGAAGCACAGGCAGCAGCTGTGGACACAACCTCCATCTGCATGTGCCGGTGGCCTCTGAGGCCCCTGCATGGCTGGGGATGGGTTTCCCCGCACTGGGTGTCAGGCACAGCAGCCAGGCCAGGCAGACGACTCATCACAATCAGTAGTGGTGCCCGCACGTGTAGTATAAATCCCAGCCCCCACTGACCCACGTGGCTAGCTTCCAAGGCAGCTCCAGGCCAGCCTGACATCCTCGGTTCTGTCCTGGGTGCCTCACGCCTGTGTCTGGCCCTTCTCTGCAGGCCTGGCCAGCACGCATTCCTCCAGCGCCCTGCATGGAAGAGGACTGTGGTTTCTCCAGGGGGTTCCACCCTGGCCAGGTTCAGCAAATAGCCTTTCAGGCACCCGGATCTGGGACCCACAGCCCAGGCGGTTCTCAGTGGCCAGCCCGAGTGAGCAAGGAGCTGGTCCCCTTGGGCAGTGACAACATGCACTCTCAGCATCCATGGGTTCACTGGAGAGTCCCAGAGCCCATTCTGGTGACAGCGGCTCCAGGGCAGAAACCCAGGTGTGCGCAATGTTCCGTTTCATGGTTCGGTCGCCAGCAAATGATGGCAGCATATCTGCCCACGGGGAGGCTGTGGAGAGTGTGGCTCTGCCTCCCAGTTCTGTGGTGCCAGCTCTTTCTCCCTGTACACCTCCCACCCAGGAACACGCCCACAAGTCACATGAGCACCGGGAGGTGACAAATTCCGGCCACGAGGCCAGCGGGACTCAGCTGCACAGGCCCCTGGAAGGAGCGAGGTCTCATCCTGATCACTCCTTTGGTCAGGCCAACCATGTGCCACCCTCAGCCTCTGTCACGGTGATCACAGCCCAAAAGCCTCTGCTCAGGTTAGGAGAAGACAGACCCACGCCGCCTCCCCAGCAGGCCACTCCACAGCTTCTGGGATTTCCCATTTCTTCTCTCAGCAGACACAATGGAGACCACACTGGACCAGGCACCGACACCAACTGTGGCACTCCATTCACCTCTCTGAACCTCAGTCTCTTTTTCTGTAAGCCAGGAATACAGCATCCTGTCTAGCCTGCCTGCCCCACTGCACCATTGCAAGAACTCCACCAAACAGCTTATCTGAAGCGCCTTGGTTTTCACACGGACCCATGTGCAGACTCCTAAGAGGCTTCAATGCAAGGAAGTCAGAGAGGCTTCAGCTCCTTGCTAAGAAAGTGAGAAGCCAGCCGGGTGCAGTGGCTCACGTCTGTCATCTCAGCCCTTTAGGAAACTGAGGTGAAAGGATTACATGAGCTCAGGGGTTTGACACCAGCCTGGGCAACTTGGCGAGACCTCGTCTCTATGATAAATCAAGAAAAATTAGCCAGATGTGGTGACGTGTGCCTGTAGTTCCAGCTACTTGGAAGACTGAGGCAGAAGGATCACTTGAGCCCAGCAGGTCAAAATTGTGGTGGCTGTGAGCATGCCACTGCATTCCAGCCTGGGTGACAGTGAGACTCTGACTCAAAACAAAAAAGAAAAGAAAGTGAGAGGCCGCGACGGCCCCTACAGAGCCAAAAAGCACAGCAAGCCGGCTTCCAGGAGCCCCAAGAGCCAGGTATGTACCCCAAGGCCGGAGTCACATCCGGGTCACCAACACACGGGCGTCCACTGCAGGCCCACTGAGCACAGTGCTTCACCCATTGGTGATGACATCCCACCAGAGACCTCGGGGACCCGATGGTCACTGGTGATTCCAGGACTTCAAGTCCCAGGGGCCCCGCGAATTCCAGCCTCCTGAGCTAACTCCTGTTGTGACAATGACAACAAATGTTCTACCCATCTCACAACTCCAGCCCAGGTCTACACTGGCAGTGCCTCCTCCCTGTTTCCAGCAGAGGGTGTGTGTCCCCACCAGGGCCTGCTTTGTTCTGCTCTCCAGAGGTCCCTGGACAGTCCAGCATGGGGCAAGTCATGCTCACACAATGGCTGCACTCACAGACCTCTCAGCTCCCATTGCCAGATACTGAACCACAGCAGATAAAACGGATGTCCTTTGGTTGTCACCAAACTGGGGTGACTCCTCAGGCAACGGCCTGGGGAGGAGCAACCTGTGGTGCCAGTGAGCCTGGGCTTGGGGCCACCCATCCCAGACTCCAGGTTGCTCGGGTATGAGTGGGGACAAGTGTGCGCCCTCCCATGTTTCCTGAGCACGCCAGGCGAGAGCACCTGGGGCTCAGAGGCCGCAACGCACACGGGTCGTCGGTCCAGCGACTCCTGCGGCTTTCATCCCAGGAAGAGCAGCGGGGTCACCAGGCCAGAAGCACAACCCTCGCGGAGCTCGATCGCCTCCCGCGAGACCCCCTTCCACGGCCGCGGCAGTTCTGCGGAGCGGCCGGCAGGTGGCGGT